AATAAAGAGAGGGAAATTGGGTTTCAGTGAGAACAGAGAAGTATAAATATGTGGAATAAAACTCACATGTGCGTAAGGCATCTTAGGAAGGAAGGAAGGAAGGAAGGAAGGAAGGAAGGAAGGAAGGAAGGAAGGAAGGAAGGAAGGAAGGATCTGGCTTCAGGTCTGGTTATTGGAGAAAGACAACTCTGGTCATTTTAAATGGGGAACTGGATAAGGGAAATATCCAAGTGAAAGGCAACACTTATGTTTTTGTACTTCTTCACACAAAACACATGACTGCCAATTGGGGTGGGGACCTGAGTGCTAGTTTTACACATATGCCTCCATACCTACCACCCTTTAAACCCAAAACACTGACAGACGTAACACTTGAATAAGGCTCATCTCTTATTTTCTGCCTAAGTTGTAGGAACCTGTCAAAATCACTGTCTGGAGTCATTAATCAAGTGGACAAGAAAAAAAACAACAAATATTTATTTAGACAAGACAGAGGTGCTTCTGCTCAGTCAGGGAAGAAGGGCCTAACATGTGCTGAATGAGGTTACACTTGCCATTAAAATTTAGTTTCACACATTGCAATTTTGGATTCCGCCCTCAATCTAGATTCTCAGGTTTAGCACAGTTAAAGCTACTCCTTGAGATGTCTATTCTGGTCTGCAATTGGAAAAATTGCTTTTGGGGACGATAGTTTCCAAAATCCCACAGGAGGTATGAGCCAGGGAAATGTTATTGCTCTACATGTTGCTGGACTGCAGCTTCTATCACCTCCAGCCAGCCAGTGGTGAGGGATCATCATTAAAATCCAATACCCTAGGAGGGCCACACATTCCCCATCCCTATTTTAACTCTGTGGAACTAAAGACACAGACAAGTTCCTGTTGGTGAATTTTATGCTGGTAAGTTAACATATATATTTCCAAAAGAAAACTCAGTAAAGACATGCCAGTACACTGGCATTTTTTCCCCAGCCAGGAGTCCAGCAAAGCAAAAGACAATGGGGACAGACAAATGGCTTGGTAAAACAACATGTAAATGTGCAGTTTTGTACTGACTGATGAGCCAACTAAGAATAGGCTTATGTGGATATTGCAGAGGCAGTAAAAATCAGCATGTTCAAATAATGAGACTCACTTTACCAATGAGAAGGAAGACCTGAAAACTGGGTGCCAGGTTCCATGATTCTCAGTGTCAGACAAGGGACTGAACAGTGTATCTCTTGTAATTTAGCACCCTGTTCCAGTGGCCTAAATATCCTTTTCAGAGTTTAGATATGTTGCCTTTGGATGACAACTCCCAGCATCTCCCAACAATGTAAATCAGTGATTCTAAACCTTGGGTCCCCAGATGTTCTTAGACTACAACTCCTAGAAATCCTGGGCAGCGCAGGATTGGGGGAGTTTTAATTCAAGAACATCTGGGGATCCAATGATGGGAACCACAGACTACAACTCCTAGAAATCCTGGGCAGCACCAGGATTTGGGGAGTGTGAATTCAAGAACATCTGGGGATCCAACGATGGGAACCATTGGTATAAATGAATTCCAGTTGTTGTAGTTGACAAAGAGGCCTTCCAAGCCTTGGTCCTTGTATCCCAGCAACTGTTTTCTTCATCACCTCCCTGTCTCCTTTGCTGGCCAGCCTGTGTTGAATGAAACCACATTCTTATGTCTTCTTCACTAAAAATATCTAGAGCCAACATCAATCAGTTTCCTTCAGTGTCTTTCTCTGTCTCACACAATGACATTTAATGCCAAGGTGGGAAGATTCAGCTGAGTGTCAGTTGTAGAACAAAACACCATGGTGTAATAAAGGAAAATGAATTTTCCACTGAAAACAGTATTGCTGGTTTATGGCCCTGTTTTTATGCAGTCTTATGAAACCATTGTAAATGTCACATAGGAAGATATAAAATTCTAGTTAGCCACCATCTGGAAAGTATTTCTAATTAAGTCCTCAGGAATGCAATGCTACAAATGAGGTACAGGTATGAACACTGTAACAGCATTTTCTGAAGTTTGGGAAAGCTGAAGGAAGATTTTCAAGGAAATTCAGGTGCAGTGAAATAAGCAATACCAAAGATACAAGAAAAAACATACAGAATAGATAACCAATTTACCAAAACATAAATACAGCTAGTAAAAATAAAATATAAAAACTGTCCTTAAAACAAAACTCTAATCAAAATACATAAATGATACTTAGGTAGCATGATTCCACATGTTTTCCTCTATCCTCTGTTTTGTTTATGTAACTTGCTTTTGGATCAGGATTGGCTGTTCCCTCTGTTTTTGAACCTGCAGTGATGTTGGTCACGTGTATCAATGGAACAAAGACCTGGGTCTATGACTATGCAAGGAGAACAATGTCTTTGGTTTGTAACTGTTCCAATTGTTTCATAACAGGATCTCCAAAGTATTCCATCGAAAAACGTAGGAAATATGGTTAGTTTCCCTGGACAGTTTAGGCCTGTGCACACACTCACATGGGTGAGTGTGTCTTGAACATGAACATTCCCCACTGCAAAGTGATCTCACAAAAGTGGACTCTACCTAATGGAAACCCACTATTACTATTAGTCCAGTATTAGTAAATTATTTACTAGCAAACAGGAAGAGCTAGTATGGATTAGAGCACCATGGACAGGAGTTTAAATAACTTTAAATCTGTCCTAAGTCTCCTAGGAGAGAGGTCAGCCCAGATCGTTCAGAATGTGTGTGGCTGATGATGGCAATATGCCCTGCCACACAGTATGTGTGGCTTTGGGCAAGCTACATTGTGTAAACTGCAGTCTCAAAGCACTACCTAGGACTCATAAACCACTCCTAAATGCTATATACCTAAAAAACCCAGGAAAGGTTGCCACAAATCAGAAATGGCATGATGGTACGCAAGAATTATTGTTATTAGTCAGTATGTCCTGCTTTGTTTGGATTGAAAACCCATGAGTTTCACTTTCACTCCAGTGTCTTCCATTTTCTTTCCCACACCAATTCTATTTTTTTGCTCCCTTCTCCTCTCCTCTCTTCCCCTCCTCTTGAACTCCTTCAGCTCACACCAGGATTAAGAACCTATTAATCCCATGCCCTATCTACTCCAGTGCTCTATTTCTGTTCTTTTCCCTGTACCAATACTTTCCCCTACGAAGCTCTTTTTTCTTCCTTATCGATATTCAGTCCAGTACACACATGTAACTTCTTTCAGTTATCACTCCCAACATCCCCTAGCCAGCACAGCCAATCAAATTATAAGCTATCCACTTATTTTAACTGGGTGATCAGTTGTCTCTTCGCAAAGACCTGTGTCTTCTCAGTTTGGTTAGAGGGCTGGAGCTTCTTCAGTGGGCCAGTCAGCAAACTCAAACTATATTTAATTTCATCCACCAATAATTTGCACACAAAAATGTTACGTTTCTTCCTCTCACTGTTTCATGTGTATTTTGAGATAACAGGGCTACAAATTCCCAGAATCCACATTTCTTGCTTTTACCATTTCTGAGATTTTACAGGTCAAACAAACACTTGGATTGACAATATTATATCTCTAATTGATATTCTGCACTACTTCCAGTACTGAACTCAAGGTGGCATATATATGGTTTCCAGAGGCTCTACTCCAAGTACTGATATCTGTTCAGCTTCAGCAAGATCGCTGCAAGATCAGGTCCCATCAGATCATGGGAGAAGACAAAAGTTTTCAAGCCCCACAAGACAACTGATTGATTTCAAGTCTGCTAAAAAGCTCATTTTTGGATTAAAACACCTCTAGGGGGCACATATCTGAGGGGCAATAACAGCACAGGGCTAGTAACACTGTGATATAGTGACATTCCTCAGCCTAGTATCCTCTTGACATACTGAAGTAGTGTGTAAGCTGGGAATAATGGGGTTTGTAAACCAACATGTCTGAATGGCACCAACTTGGAAACATTCCACTACCTTGAACCTTGAGAAGAAAAAAATTCACTTCTCACTTCCTCCACACCATTTCACTCCCAGACTGTCCAAATTCACCACCACTACTACTAAAACAGGGGCTGGGTCAATTTAGCATAGTTAAGGCACAGCTAGAGCAGCCAATTTAAATAAATAGAAATTATAGAGGTGTAGATTCAACAAAGAAGAGCCTCGTGGCGCAGTGGTTAAAACGCTGTACTGCAGCTAAAACTGTGCTCACGACCTGGGGTTCAAATCCCAGGTAGCTGGCTCAAGGTTGACTCAGCCTTCCATCCTTCCGAGGTCGGTAAAATGAGTACCCAGCTTGCTGTGGGGGGGGGCAATGTGTAGCCTGTATAATTAAAAATTGTAAACCGCCCGGAGAGTGCTTGTAGTGCTATGGGGCGGTATATAAGTCCAATAAATAAATAAATAAATAAATAAAATCTCCACAGATTCAATGGCCCACTCTAATGAAACACATATCTGAGGGGCAATAACAGCACAGGGTAGTAACACTGTGATATTGTGACACTCCTCAGCCTAGTATCCTCCTGACATACTGAAATAGTGTGTAAGCTGGGAATAATGGGGTGTGTAAACCAACACGTCTGATGTAACTATTGGAATATTTACACCACCCCTCTGATACTGGTATTGCTAGCTCCTGACTGACTCTAATGAAACTTACTATGCTAAACAACAGGCTTTCAACCATTAGCAGAAGGTGCAGAGTTTAATATTATGTTCAGTTTGTCTTTGAAATGGATTAGAGATGTAACTATAGAAATATTTACACCACCCCTCTGATACTGTATGGTATTGCTAGCTCCTGACTAAAACAGTAAGATCAAAGTTTGGGGACAATTTGGACCATGACTGTCACCATGTCATACCAAGCTCACATCTGGTCATATGGTAAAAGCCACTATTGCACAGGACACTCCAAGCAGTCACATGATCGCATTAGACTGCCTCTCTGATGGTGTCCTGTAATGCTGTTGAAAGAAGATCACACACCCCTTCCCACCGAAAACCCAAAGCAAGAATTATGTGGAACCTACCTTAGAAAGCCCACCTACTTCCAAATAGAAGCAGATAATGAAAACATTCCATGTGACCCAGAGAGCAGTCCATACTGAGTACTAGGGTAAAAAAAAAATAAGAAGAAAAGATAAAGATAAAGATAAAGTTAAGATAAAACTATTGTACACAAAGTGTAGATCAATAATATAAAAGATTAATATGTACAGCACTTCTGGGAATCATCACACAGGGTGTAACCAGAAAGATTTATCTTGGCTGAAAGCCCCTAGAACTGTAGCCAATTGCAAATCCTTTTTTTTTTTGCATCCCTTACATTCAAGGAAAATTAAATTTATTATTTATGTTGCTGTATTACCCTATTGACACCAGTAAATTCCAAAACATTGACCCAATTGCATATTCTGTGCTTGACCTTTTATTCTTTGTGCCATATATCTTTACATAGGGGATGCACAGAAACAACCATCACATAACCTCATTTTGCTCAATAGCCCGAGTGTTGTCTGAAATCTCTGGTAATCAGATGCTAGGACAAATAGGAAATATCTGTACTGGGTTATACCACAAAAAAGGCTGCATGAAGAACATGAATGATGAGTTAACTTCAGATAATCAAGTTCAGGGGTCTTCTTTTTTCTTTATAAACAACACAGATACATTTTTTTCTATTGTGGACACTAACAACAAATGCAGCACACACAGAAAGGAGCAGAGAGAGAATACATGCATACATGTAAGAAAGAAAGAAGGTTGTATTGAAAAGTGCAAAACGTGTTGTTGTAAGATGGTGGCATATACCAAGTATTGCTAGTGCTAGTTATGATCTATAAAGTCCGATATGGCTTGGGGCCACAATACAGTGGGGTCTTGACTTGAGAACTTAATCCGTATTGGAAGGCGGTTCTCAAGTCAAAAAGTTCTCAGGTCAAATCTGCATTTCCCATAGGAATGCATTGAAAACCATTTGATCTGTATCTGCTCGTTTCCGTCCATAGAAACTAATGGGAAGCTGCTATTCTGCCTTTGAGCACTAGAGGGGGATATTTTGTTTCTTTTTTTCTTAGGTCAAGAAAGGTTCAGGGAAGGCAGGGAAAATACAGTCCAGGCAGTACCAGGCAGTCTGAAGACTCCCAATCCACTCTCTAAATGCTGGGAGGAGTGAGGAAGCAGACAGGCACCCTCTTCACTGGCCAACAGTTAACTGAAAGTTCAAATTTTGCACTTTCCCTGCCTCCCACATGGTTTTTTTCAGTTCTTAACTCAAATCTAAGTATGTAAGTCAAGTCAATATTTTCCTATGAGAGCGGTTCTTAAGTCAAAATGTTCTTAACTCGAGCCGTTCTTAAGTCAAGACCCCACTGTACCTTTAGGACTACATCTTCCCATATTAGCTTCCCCAGGTTTAAAATCCTGGAGGAGACTTTTTTTTCTTAATCTCCCCAGCTTTACAGGTACCTCTACTAAAGACACAAAGCACAACGTGGTTCTTCCCAGGCAAGTTTCTAGCAAATGAACAGGCTATTGAGAAAGGGGCTTTTAAGGACAGGTGATGCACTTTTTCCATGACTTGTACTTTTAACAGGCTTTTGTTCAATGGTTGTTGTAAGAAAATACTGTGTTTGGCTTTTTAGTTCTTTTTTCAGCCACCTTCAGTCTCTATACTGAAAGAAAAGACCCTTCTACCCAACTGGCTGCAATGGTTAAGATTCATCATTAGTGGTGACGAGGGGAAAGGATACTGCTTAGGGAGTCAAAAACATCCAAACAGGTTTAACTTCTCAGTTCTGCTGATTGAAGTAGTTCCATTACAGGAACTACCTGACAGGATCCTGGTGACAGAAGGGAAGGAAGGAAAGCAGGACTGTGCTTGTTGGCGACATCTTTGCCCTTTAGATCGCTGCGTAACTAAAGCTGTGTGAACAGAACTATGCTTAATTGGAATCTCTGCAAAACAATGATAGCAACACAGGATCCCTCATTTACACACATTCTCTGTTTATAGGCTCCATTCACATGTTTGGAATGCAGTACAAAGAATGAGCTGTGAGTCAGCAGCTGTGATTCTATTAGCCCTTCCATACATCTGCTGCACACATGTAATACATATGAATAAAGCCTAATACATAATTAACACTAATGTCAAACTAAACACGATATGCAGCTATGTGTCTCGCTTTTCCTGAAGGTTTAGTGAACAGAATTTATTTGTGGCTCTATTAAAAATGAAAATCTGTCTTAACTGACTACAGATTTGAAGAAGAAAGAGCAAGGGGTTGATTAACTTCTCCCAGCTTTTTGTCAACTCAAAATCTTTTTCCATTGCCCTGCCCTCCTCAAGATGCTTTCCTCAAGATGCATGGGGAAAGGAATCCAGAATATTTACATATAATGGCTGTAAACAACTGGTATATCCAAATGTCATGACATACTTAAAAATCTAATTTTAACTAAATGCTTATTAAAAATGAATATTACAGTACAACAACACCCACTTCCTCCAGTTATTGATTCTCTAGAGAAAAGCAGCCTCTCAATAAATTTTGGACAGAAACTTTTAAAGCCTTCTTGTACTTTAAGAGGCATTTCCAGTAACACTTGGTTCCTATTATCTGTGTTGGGGCAGAAGGCTCAGACAAAGAAAGGAGAAAAGACTGAGAGGAGATATGGTAGCACTTTTCAAATACTGGAAAGGTTGTCATATAGAAGAGTGGGATCTGTTCCTGATCATCTGAGAATGCAGGACACATAATAATGGTTCCAAGCTACAGGAAGCCAGATTTTGGTTAAATATCAGGAAAGACATAGAACAGTATGGCAGTGGATTCAAGTATCGGGGGGGGGGGGGAGCACTCCAAAGCTGGAGGCATTTAAGAAATTTAGACAACCACCTGGCAGATATCCTTTTATTTGCATTCCTGCATTGAGCAGGGGGTTGGACTCAATGGTCTTATAGACCCCTTCCAATTCAATTATTCTAGGATTCTATGAGATCCAGAGAAACAAGCAGAGGCATTGGCAAGAATGGGATATTAATACACACACATGCAAGCAAGCATTTAAACAAACACAGAGTACAAGGGACCACATCTAGTAAGGGGGTAGGCAGGAATGACCTTGCTAATAGTCTGATATGGGGCATCCTCATATGTCCTTATCTACCAGCCATCCCTGTGTGCATGCTCTCAAGTCAGTTCTGACTTATGGCAACCCTTTTCAGAGTTTTCTTGCTATAGAATGCTCAGAGATGGTTTACTGTTCTGTTCTTCTGGGGGTAACCTAGGACTGTGTGCCCAAGGCCACACAGGTTGACTCTATCTATTCCCAAGAGGCACAGTGGGGAATCAAAATCCCAACCTCTGGCTCCACACTCACCTAGCTATCCCTGAGCCTTTCTAAAATCGCAAGGAATGCTAAGGTGATTGGAATGTGGATGAGCAGGGGAAAATACACCCAAGTGCATTGTACCTGTACAATGAAGTGTTCCCTTCAGCTAAGCATCAAGAGTGCCAGCTATAGCCGCCTAAAATTTGGAAGCATTTCTTACAATCACCTCTGACACAGCATAGCTCAGTCTATAAGTGACAAGGGAAATGATAGACCAAAGCACTAGGATAGAATATGAAAGCGATCCGCTCAAAATTCACCCAAATCGCTTTTTACAGAGAAACTCTATCTTATGAAATGTTTAACTGCATTTTGAAATCAGTGTGGAATTGCCTCCTGCTGCTCTTCAACATCTAGGCTGGCTTGAATCCAAGTAATTTGGTTCTACTCCTTTTGGATATTACATTTATTACTCTCAAAAGATGTGGTTTCCTTTCTCCAGTAATCTAACTTGGTCTCTGTGGGCATTCATACTGCATACATCCCAGTACAATAAGAGCACACGCTAGGAGAATAAAATTATCTATGTAAAGACAAAATTTCTCTCTTCTACCCTAAGAAGGAATACATGGCCTATTTTCATCTCTCAAAGAAATGTGTAAATTGGTACTTTTAAATTTTGCACTGGGCTACATTTAGCCAATTTTAATTTTATATATATATATGACAATTTGACAGATGTGGAACACTCGAAGTACTAACAAAAATGGCAAATGCTCTCAGATCATCTTTAATCAGTAAAAACTTGAGACTCTCTCATGCTTTGAGAAAAGGTAGCAGAGCTAATAATAATAATAATTTTAAAAATGAATTGAAAAATAGCTTAAGTAAAATTCTTTAAGCTGTGTCATGTTTTCCAGTGAAGAACCATTGTTGGCCATAATTCCCTAGAAGAGGCACATGGTTGCTGTTGTTGTTTTAACAGTTCTGCATCTTATTCTGGTATTCTAATTAGTTCAAGTGAACATATACGAACAGGGCTAAAGTGCCTAACCACACTTTCTAGCATGTGTTTTTCTCACATAGAGAATGGTGGGCCTTCTGTGTAATTATTAAAGGGAAAAGTATAGGGGAACTGGCAACACATGGACAAAGGAGCAGGGAGATGTGATAGGGTGTAAACCCTGCAATTATCTGTATAAAGGAAGCAGAAAAATGCTGGTAAAGATTAGAGAAGAAGTTATTATAATCTAGTAGAACTCAAGATTTTAAAAATGACATTCTTCCTTTTCTGGTTTATTATACTGCATTCCTTAGGAAGAACTGGGCAGTGGGGTACAGTTTGGCATTAAAAATGAAAGAATTACATTTACACAGATTTTTCAGTTTTCACATAAGGAGTAACTTCTAAACAAATACTTTTAATCATTAATTTTATTCTATTTCTATCAAAGAATCCAAAAACAGCATAATTACAATTATAGCAAGTAATGGTACCGAATCTAATAGCAATATTACATATATTTCAACATGTAGTAATTATATCAAAGGAAAAAGGAGAGAGGGTAATGTTCTTTCAAGATTGTTGATATATTTATTTTTAAAAGAATTTATTTTTGAAAGAGCCTTTTTACCACGGATGATTATTGTTGTTTTCGGATGGGGCATCCTGGAATTCCTGAAGATGCATCTTAGTTTAACAAGATAAAGCTGCTTCCTAAATTTTCTTCAGCCAATAAGATAACGGTGGGGTCTCTGACAGAAATCCAACCCC